AGGGCAGGGACAGCTCTGACTCAGACACCTGCTGTTACAACTGCATTAAGTTGCATTAATGAAATTACAAACAACTTTCTCCAACGGCATGTTAAACTGAAAGGACATTTGAGCACAATGTGGGGACATACCACCCAATATTCAGAAAAGTAATCAATGGTTTGTTGTCTCTGCCATTCAGGAATGCCTTAATATTTCAATGACGACATGTGAATTTGACCTGTTAGAGCACAGCAAGCTCAAAACGTTCTCCACGGTTTAGGCAGTGAACAAAAAGACAAATGATACTTTTTGAAATTATCAAGTAACTCGCTGCCTACAGAGATCATTTTCACAGCTATAATCTATGAAATAAACATTTTACTCCCTGACTGTGCTTAAAAGAATGGTTCACCAAAAATGTAATTTAAATGAAAATTTTCACTAATAATTTATAATTAATATAATTTTTGTCTGTTCCATGATATAAAGAAAATATTTCTACAAAAGTCATACAGGTTAGTAATGACATGAGGGAATGAAAACAGTTTTAATTTCTGCATTAACTATTCACTTAATGGCCTTAAATCTAAATACAAATTCTATACATTCAAATTCACTTGCCCCACACAAAAAAAACTAAACTACATGTGTCCTGATAAAATGACACTGCTGAACTTGTTAAAACTTTATGAAAATATTCAGGCCAAACCACAAAAACCAACAAGTTGATACAAGTTAACAGGCCTATATTTTGATTATTTAGAAATGCTGAATACATGAAGAAAAACAGAGAAATCTTAGTTTTGCAGGATTTACAAGGGTGGAGATCATGTTTGGAATGTCAGATTATGACTGGAATAGTTTGGTAACGTATCCAAATAGCCTTGAGAAAAAGAATAGCAGGAGGAAAAACAGGGAGGCAGGGATCTTCTGTTCAAACAAAGGCCCCAACCAGGAAACAGCTAATCAAAACCGGTACGGTAGTTTCCTCCTGCAAGGATGGGTATCCAACAATACATTTATGATGAAAACAGCTTATTATGCGTTTATCCCAAAATAGATTTATTTAGTTGTATTTCAGACGCCCTAAAAATAGCATTCAGGTACGTTTCGTGCAATTGTTTTGATAGAGGGAAACAACAAGATGCATTTCAAGTTACATTTTATTTTGTTCTTCAGACATTCCTCTTTAAAATAAATAAGTATTACCTCAGCTGAGCTCTATGCATAGTGACCCAAATTTGTTTTTAATGAAAATGTGAACACTTTATTCAATTTTATTATGTAACAATCTCTGAAATTGAACCATACAGGACTTCAAAATGAAGATTCTAAAAGAAAAGTTTAAGAACCTGAGTCTAAAAGCATATTAACATTATCTTTAAGTTCTTGGGTTACAGTCATCCAAACTGTCACCATTAGCCTGTAATGCAACAAGGGTTGTTAAAGTCAACAGATTTTACTAATAGAATCTCTGTGTAAACATTAAAAAAATGCTTCTGCCATCTTTCTTTAGTTATTTTCCCCCTCCTGTAATTTGGCTCCAAAAAAGGTGAAAACATACATTTTATTCTTTTCTTTACAAAATCATACACTTTAGTTTGGAGGACACAGAATGACCCTATAGTTAGGTTACTGTCGTCCTTGGAATAGAACTACTTCAGAAACATTTATTTTTATGATACAATTATAATATTTATGCAAAAATGTGTAACAGTTATAAGACCCTTTAAGACTTGTGTAACCCTTTAAGTCTTTGATATATGTTGTTTTCAAAACAATGTTTCAAGGTTGGTAGCTTTTCCAGAACCTGCAAAAAGCAAATATCTGGAAATAGTACATCACTGATCAGGCAGCATCTGATCAGAACAGCTTTCATAAATTTCTCTGGTACATAACAACAAAGAAACTGAAGTAGCATGGTAGACTCATAGACTCTAGATGACTGTTATTAGGATCAGCCCACTTGGTACTGCTTGACTGAGGGTGGTCGTATTGCATAATATGAACATTTATGAAAGGCAAAGGTGGTCACACACATGGGGGAGCTTGCAAAATATGATCTTTGTAAGAAATGTATAATATGACTTGTATAGTTGAAATGGTCAAATCTATATGTGTCAAGAGGCAGTTTGAAGTCTAATTTACATCTCGATATTATTTTCTGGCAGATCAAAACTAAAAAATTACCATCATTTGTGATTTCATTACCTTCTTCTTTATGAGCTTAGTCTTGAGTTTGTTCTTCAACAGATTGTGCTAGTCTGTGTAAACAGATGATCAGATAGCCATCTGCAACAGTCTTTAATTCATAACTCTTTAAGTCATCGCGCTCTCTATTAACTCGATGGTTGGATTATACAATGAAATATGCCCTTCATTAATGTTGTTTAATATATACCAAGTCACATAAAATGGTTACACAACTGGGCACAGAAAACCTGGTAACAAAACTTCTGCCTGAATAACCTTGTAATTGTGTAGTGAGGGAGGCACAATGCAGTATTTTCCAAGACAGTAACAGACTCAGTACATGACCTCTATAGTTGTCTTTATAAGGTCCCAACAGGGAATGCTGTCACTGCCCAAAATCCAATATTACAACTTGAGAACTATCAATTACTTAACTGAAAGCATGGCCCAATAGTCTAGGTTGAAATGAGTAAATAACACAATGTGTTCTTGGAGTAAAGACACAACATTTCTAAGAAAAGAAATATTGAAAATGGAAAAAATAATATACATAAGCCAGGAAATTGTCAGCTCCAATGTAATCAGCCTTTTCCTTGTCCTTGTATTTTACAGTAAATCATTTTGCAACCTCAAAATAGGATTGATAAACTAAATAACTATCAATGACAGATCATCTAAAACATTCAATGATACTGTAGTTCACCCAAAAAAGAAATTCAAATGTTATTGGTGCATAATGCATTCAAGTTTGTATTTATGAGTTGGGAAGAGAACGTCAGGTGTAATGAGTTGTAGTTTACAAGTTTTATTGTAAATGAAAAATACTACTTTCATTAATTAAAAAAAACGTTACCATCAATATAGATTCAGCATTTTATGTGAGATTATTTACAACTTTGTGGTGCCATCCTTGTGCATTCAACACATAATTACAATCTTTCCAACATGACTTGAATGCCCCATTATTCACATTCGTTCCAAAACCTGCATGACTCACCAATTTGGAGTTTGTGTTTCAGAGACTTTTTTGTATGAGATTGAACCATATAGGGCCTTAAAAATGAAGATTCCAAAAGAAAAGTTTCATAAGAACAATAATCTAAATTACATTAAGATACACTTCTTGAATTAAAGACATGTAAACTTCAGAAATGTGTTTGTTTTTGGCAATCAGAGAGGTGTTGTATTAAATTTTGATAGAGGGAAACAAGATACATTTCTAATTTCAGTATTATTTGTTCTTCACGCATTCTTCTTTAAACACAATAACCATCAGCTGTTTAAAAAGTGACCTACATTTGGTTCTTGACCATTGAAAATGGGTAAAATTCAACAATTTGAACATGGATCTGGTTTTGAGATCCCCATATCTATGGGACTGAACTATAGGGCCTTAAACATGAATATTCCAAAAGAAAAGTTAATTAAGAATGAGAATCTAGAAGGATATGTTAAGATATATTGAATAGTTTTAGAGTTACAAGCTTGAAAACTTTAGAAAAATAATATGTATGGCACTCAGACAGGTATGTTCTAGAACTTCTAATCTATGCAATTGAGCTGATAGAAAAAAACGTGATACATTTCTAGTTTTAACATTATTTGTTAAGATATTTCTCTTTAAAATAAAAAAAAGTATCAGCTGTAAGCAAGGTGACCCACATTTGTTTTTTGACCACTGAAAATGTGTACAATTTACCAATTTACTCATGGAGCCACATTAACAAACCCATGTCTCTGGGATTGAACCTTTGAAATTAAGATACCAAAAAAAAAAAAAAAAGTTTGATAAGAAGAACCAGAATCTAAAAGGATATTAAGATATATTTAATACTTCTTGAGTTACAGGAATGCAAACTTGTGGCAAAAAACAAACAAACACAAAAAGTGTTTTTTTTCTCGCATTTTTGAACTGTCACCGTTGGCATATAATGAAACAAAGATAGCTAGTCAACATATTTTACTGATAGACCTACCAATCTCTGTAAAAAGAAAATAATGATGCTGCCATCTTTCTAAAGTCATTTTTACATCTCAGGTGAAAATTGTCATTTTGACCCCCCTCTTAGTGGATTACTCAGTAAACATATACCATATTCAACCACCGAACACCGAGACAATTTATTTGAAGCTTTAAATCAAAAGCAGTAACTTAGTACATTGTTATTTGTCCTGGTAAAACAAAACTGAAAACACAGCAGATCTGTTTTTCACTGTCAACAAGAATTCAGAAATATTGTGTCAATATCGGAGCTTCACCCAAAGACTTTCAGACAAATGTATCAAAATAAGAGTCACAGTCTTGCAACAAAACACCTTCCTTTCACGTAACACGCATGTTTGCTGTATATTTTTCCTAGAATTGTGGCACATATGTTTACTAGTAACGTTACTTAGTTCGACGAGCTGCGTTAACACTCCTCCCTTCACCAGCTCAACTACCGGTAGCATCTTTATGCATTAATTAAACCACTTTATTTTACTTACTTACTCAAACTTCCTACAAAAGCTCAATATGATACCTTAAATTATTCTCAAATAAAATAAAACAATATTCATCGTGTGTAGAATCGTGCCAATGACCGAGCAAATATGCAACAGATTAAAATCAGAGACGTCTAGAGAAAACAATCAATGTTTAAACTTAGTAAAACAACAGATTCATAAGATTGATTCTGACAGATTTCAAACATGACCATCTCTCGTTATAATTTATTAATCTCTCGAATAATTCACGAGCACGCAGCAGTCGCTTTTCTTTCACTTTCATAAAAAGTCACTTTGTTGAGATATAATCCTTCAAAAAGAATCACAGCATTACTCACCGTTTGCAAATGTGCACGAGCCAGAGAAAACAACCGTAGATTGTTGGAGGCAGTGAATAACGAAAAGCAGCCAGACACGAAAGAAAGTAGTTGTTGCTTATTGTTTGCTGGTCTACTCGGGAGTCTGACTGTGAATGAGGGTCCAAGACTCCGAAGAGGCGTGACTAAACCGATGCCATCCAAAATTACATCATTAAATGACAATTACCGTAAAACCTCACATATTCCGAGTCTGAAACGTAAACAAAAAAGAACATTGAAACAAAGGGTTGCACAATCTTTTTTATTTCGCTCTTGCCTGTAGGTCTTCTCAAAAATCTCTTAATGCATGAATCAATTCATAAATGAAGAATAGACAAATGGAGGGATGCAAATGGATGAGCAATACAACAAATAAAATTAATTTAAGTTGTGTACAAATTAAAAATCATCTCAGTGAACACTAGAGGGTGCTACACAATTCAGAGACTATTAGGAAGAATTCAGTTACTGCTTTCCATTTCATTTCACCTACGCCATGACCATCTTAGGGTTAGAATGCATTTTTACTAGAAGAGTAGAAGACATTCCCCTATTTCAATTCTTAATACCTACACAATGAAAATGTTATACAATGAAATGTAAAACAGAACAATGTACCAATTTTACAACAATGCAACATATTAAAAACAGACTAATGTTGAATTGACTAATTGGGGAATAATTGCAGATTTACACACACTTCCATGCTCAAAAGCACAAGGTGATAGTGATTATATTACCTAAATTGAAATTCATACATGCTATTTTGTCTTCAAACTCAATATTTTGCATGAAACAAAGCAAGTATACAAACAAGGAATTGGAAGAAACATTTTTTTCAAATGCATGAAGGCCAATAACATCTGATACAGTAGTTTCCTTAAGGTTTCTCTTATTTCACAGAAATGCTTCTCTGTGAATGTCCTTCACCAAAACATCAATGTTTCAACACAGACATCATGAATGTATTGTCAAACACAGATAAATATAATCTTTGATATTGTAATTTGTGTAAAGCAGGAGTATTTTTCTCAAATATGTTTATTTTGTGTGTAAATCCGATTCACAGCAACACAGCGAAAATCAAACATTTATCCCCCACTACATTCATTTCCCCTTTAAAAGAGCAAGTACATTGCAAGGAATGGCAGGATGTAATTTTCTAGCTAAATTAAGATGCTCTAAATTTAAAAAGTTTTTTCACATTTGTATTTGACATTAACAATACACATTTGGTGAGATGGAGGGTTTTCTGTAACTCTGGCATTTTCCCCCTTCATAGCAACACTACATTCATTGCCTCTGTGCAAATGTTATTTAAAAAAACAAATATTAAACTTAAAACTGGGGGCTGAAATACATGCTTAGTGTCACAAACAAAACACTAGAGCTTGACATGGATGAAAATGACTAAATGAAAAAGTATGCATACTTCTACCATCGAATCCTAAAATCATCTATATAGAACAGGCACACACACAAAAAAACGATTTATATTAAAAATTTGGATAAACAATAGAATATTTCTAACCTGGCCCTAGCCAGATGAATTTCGCTCCGCCTAGCTTCACTCACATCCATCTGGAACCGATCCATTGAAATGGCGTTTCAGAAGGCTGGGCCTTATCAATAATCCTTGCATATGATTGGATAAGCCACTTGTCTGTCATCTTTATCGACGTGCTATTTCAACCACTCACACCGAAGCCAACCCGTGAAAAAAAAGCCTTAAGAGCCGTTCTCTGATGTTCTTTTAATGAAACAATATTAGGTAGATTGGACAACACGGATGAAATAGCAGCATCAATGTTAACGCTTGTTTCCTCGATGCGAGCCGCCATTGTTGTCTGAATCAAAACAGTCTCACGGTCGCTTCTCCACTACGTCACATCTATGAAACTCCCGCCCTGCGTCCTGATTGGCTAAACCATAAAGTTGGTTGGAGAAATCACTCTCAATGGAAGAGGTTCCAGATGGATGTGAGTGAAGCTAGGCGGAGCGAAATTCATCTGGCTAGGGCCAGGTTAGAATATTTCTACACAGCAGCAGAATTGCAGGCATGAAGTGGAGAGTTTATATTAAAAGGGAAATCTACTAATGACAATGCATATATTAAAGTATATATATATATATATATAAAATGTACAAGTATAATACACTGCTCCAGACCAGAGAGAACCGATATCAGTCTTCAGCAGCCCAGGCATCTGATGTGACCCAAACAAATCAATCTCCTCCACCTGATAAATAAGACATCATTATTGCTTAGAAGAAAACGATTGATACATTGATACATGATACAAAAAGGTGATCTCATGAGAGGTGGATGGGTCAGGCTTACCCCCCACAATCCTCACATGGTTCTGCTGTACTCAATGCCGCTCTTGGAAGAGATGCCTGACCACGGCAGAAAGCTGCGCAGGAGATTCTGTGCTTGCCGGTAAATCCTCTGGGGAATAGAACAGGGGCTCAGACTGGCCAGTGCCGAACCTATATGATGAATATAATCAGTGCTGAGAGAGTCAAGGAACATTTTTTCTACCAGGCATTTACAGTTCAAATTCATGAAACTAGTATATCAATACCATTTAAAATAACTGTTTTTTATTTGAATTTCATGATCCTTCAGAAATCACTCTAATATGATGATTTGCTGCTCAAGAAACAGTTCTTGTTATTAGAAATGCTAAAAAAAGTTGTGCTGCTTTATATTTTTGTGGAAACTGTGATGCACCTTTGTCAAAAAAAAAGGGGGGGGGGGGGGGGGGGGGGGGGGGGTTAGGGGGCATATGTAAAAATGCAAAACAATTAATACATTATTGGATAAAATGATTCGGTATCATGTTATGTTATAACATGCAGCTCTAATTACCAATCGCCTTGATTAGCCCACTCACAGACAAATGCGACACATCAAAACAAATATGTGAGATAAAGAAAAGGATATAAGATAGTCCATGGAGGATGTCCGCCATTGATGTAGAGGACGTAGGTGAAGCCATCCTTCAGCACTCCTCGTATAGAGTAATAATATGGTAAATAGTGGTGCTGTTTAAAGTCTCTGTTCTCATAGAAGTGAATGGCAGTGTTATTGGTGGTGAGCACATGCAGGTAGATGGCTTTACAATGGTCCTGTGCCGTGGTGGAGATGTGCTCCTTTAAACTGTCCAGCAACAAAGAGCCTGCAGAGAGAGAGAAAGAGAAATGAGTGAACTTACAAACCGTTTGAATACAGTTCAAGTTTTATGAGGGGAAGCATGTGTCATGGCAGACGTCACACAACAGCACAAAAACGTCACCTCTCACCTACTCCATGTTTGCGAAACTCTTTCACGACTCCTAAACTCAGGATGTACGCAACTTGAGTTTCAACAGGAAAGCTGGAGGCCAAGATGTCTCCATCCTGATGGAGAGAAATATATGCTGAGTTAGCAACACAGGCGGTTAGCTGGGATAATATACTGGAATAACAAAAAATTGTGATTTAAATTTTGTTGTCACTGAAACATATTGAGGGTGTTTTAAGAGATATTTTAAGGGGTTGGTAAAGTTTTTGAAAGAAGTATCTTATGCTCACCAAAGCTAAATTAATTTGATCACAAATATATATTATATATTATTACAATTTAATTTTTTACATTATAAATGTCTTTACTGTCACTTTTGAACCCTTTAAATAATCCTTGCTGAATACAAATAGTTTCTATAAAAAAAAAATCATATTGACCCCAAACTTTTGAACAGTAGTGTAATTTCAAAAATAACATACATAACATTAATTTCTTATTCAGTACACAAGTATTTTAGAGGAAAAAAATTGCACATGTTAGAGAAAAATATAAAATCACACCAAAACAATGAAATAAAAAATTAAAGGCACAATATGTAGAATTTGGGGATTAAAATATCCAAAAACCACTAGAACAATGTTATATATTTTGTTGATTTGTGTACTTAATTTATCCCAAATGTTTCTAAGAATTTTTTTAACCAGAAGAATAAGCCAGTTTAACCAGGACACGGTGTCCGAGCGTCGTCTATCAATGACATCATACCCGCGTTACCCTCGATTTCCAGTTTTATTTTGTAGAAACCATGGAAACACCAAAGACGCTTTAATATATTATACATTTTATTAGATGAGCAACTGATTGGATACATTCATTGACAGAAAACTAACCATTGTTATACAGCTCAACATAGTTAGTCTTTTTGTTTAAATCTCGTTTTCTTGATTTAGCGCGAGTACCATTTTTACTATGCCTAATATCGATCTAGCTCACTGCAGTGTGCAACAAGTGTCTCATATAGTAGCCGCCGAGCGAACACACAGAGTAGCATTATAACAACTTTTCAACACACTCAAATGTATCTAATATGTTAAAACAGCGCTGCGTTACCCCACATACACATGACCGGAAGAAGCGGAAGTGGTCTGCGGCATAATAAAAGCTCCACTGCTCTCGAGCTGTGTGTCGTGCTTGTCTCTCATTGGCAATCGCTCCAGCGGCCTCGTTCCGCTCCAACGGCTTTCGTAACGTTAATAAATCTTTAATACATTACCGGTCATCCATGAATATGATTTTTGCCCGAGTCCCGTCGTATTCTCCACCGGCTGTAGAGGTGAAGACAACAACTCCCATGATATCGCGAAATCAAGGTGTCATCAAGCTACGCCTTTGTTTTGAATAAATGACCTCTAGTGGCAAAAAATTACATAGTGTGCCTTTAAAATAAAATAAAAAAACACTAAAAGGATTCCTTGCAATCATTGTACAAAGAAATCACACTCAAAACCCTACAAATCGCATATATCACACATCTCTCCAGGCTCAGGACTATTTGAACTCACACAACTAGATACAGAAATTTCTACCCTAGTGCTGTAAAAATGTTTAGCACACAACAACATTAATGTGTAATAATATCAATAACAACATGGGTACTCTTGCAACCTGATCTTTTACCACTTTCTATAAGCTTATCAATATAGGCTATATTTTTGCACATACGTAGCAATACTGTCTATTTTATTCTATCTTGTCTAGAGTCTGTCTATAGTAAGCATTCAAGCAAGATTTCCATTGTACTTCATACATGGAACTTGTACATTTAATAAACAACTTTGATATGCTAGCCATGCATGGGCCTACAAAGTTAATTAAAAGTGAACTAACAGTCATATCTAACTTGTCAGAACAGCCAGTGACTGCCAGCTTTAGTAGGAGACATAACTGTACAATGAAGAGGCAAAATTAATCCTCTCTAATGAAGGTCAAATTTAGTCTGTAACCTAATTAATCACCGGCTATAAAAAGGCTTTGGATATGTCAGATGATTTCAATTATGATCCTTTACATCCAAGCTCCAGAGGAACTATTCTTTATGGCCAAAGTATTTTTTTTACTCAATTAAACATTTATTATTCATAGTGATGCACCTATGTGAAAATTGTGGCCGATACGATAACCGATATTAATATTGCTGTTATGGCCGATACCGATATTTACCGATGTCGATATCGATATATATTGCGATATAAAAAAATTTCACCAGATGACTTGAATAGCTCTATTTGGAAAGAATGAATAATTCTAGAATGACTGGGGTGGTTTTGACATGGAGTAAATCCGCATAGAAACTAATATTAATAGAATGTTAACTAATGTAGTTAACTAGACTTTAATAAATGGAACCTTATTGTAAAGTGTTTCCGATTTATGTCTCTTGAGTTCAGTGTTGGACAGATCAGTTGTTTTAACCATTCATTAAAGGCCATCTTTCAATTTAATTGTATAACTTAATTTATACAGAATTTTGTATGAAAATGTCAATTTAAAAAGACATACATAAGAATACATATGTTTTACAACACCCACAGGCAGAAATTCAGGAAAAAGTGTACCTATTCTAAGCTAGGCTAAAAAAAACGCCCTTTTCCAGAGAACGCGTCATATGACGCAACGACAGGCAAACAAATAGGCGTTGCTGCCCTGGTTCTCAGTGTGGGTTTACGTAGTCTGAGAGGTGGTACAGAAAATAGAGCTTGTAGTTATCGTTATAACGTTAGTTGAGTTAGTTTGAATTGTCACAATGGTGAATTCTTGTGTTTGTTTTGGATGCAACCACTCCAAATTGTCTGGTCCACCGATTTCCAAACAAGAAACACAAAGATTTCCGTGCTTGGATACGTTTCGTCCAGGCAAAGAGAAGCAATTTCTCTGCCTCCTCGGTGACAAGACACACGGTGGTATGTGAAAAACACTACACACCGGATGGGAACGGGCGGTAATGGTCAGAAAATCGGCGGGAACGGGTGGTAATGGTCAGAAATTCGGCGGGCGCGGGCGGGAACGGGTGGTAATGGTCAGAAATTCGGCGGGCGCGGGCGGGAACGGGTGGTAATGGTCAGAAATTCGGCGGGCGGGATCGGGTGGTAATGGCATTTATCTGCATGCCTTACACCCAGTCCACATGACAATAAAAGATCCTTGTTGTAACAATGACTATATTTACATGAACAGCATATTCCCGTCCTAACCGGAACACTAACTGCTTTCATACACATACTCCGCAGTACATGCGAGCTCATTTACATAATGTCCGTCGGAAATACTATGGGAGTAGTATAACAGCCGGCTAAGTTCGGAAAATCTGGGATCTAAATTAAACATTTTAAGACGCATGTTGCTAGCATAGATGGTGACAATATACATGGATGCTTGAAAAACAACAAAGTCGACAGCAATATTGCTAAATATGATTTATTAAAGATACTGCAATGTGATAAACATGGAGACAACGTTAGCCACAATTAACTAGCTATAGCCTGTGGTCACTCACCAAGACACCTGCCCAATTCTCCACCGATTCTCCTCACAGGCTCACACCACAACTCTATCTCTCTCCTCTGTCCATTTACCCTTCCCCTTAACTCTGCCTGACCCCTCTCTCGCCTAGGTGGCTCATAATTATACGGCAATGGCCCATCGGAAGAGTTGACATGAACCCTTACTGCAACCACTTCAATGTCTGACTCCATTACGAAGAGATGAGATTTACCGGCCTTTGCGTCACGTCCGATCAGAGCGTTTTTGACAGCGGAAGTAATTTTACTCACAATTTCTTTTAAAAAACTTTTTTAATGCACATTTATGATTAATTTCTTTCTTGTGTGATTATCCAGGCAGTTTAGGACATTGCACAAGATTTGTCTCAACACAGAAAACATTTCATCACTAGATAGTTTTTTTTTGTTTATTGAAAGTGTGGTTTATGTCATCTGAATGTGTGCAAAGCTTTTCAGAGTTGTGAATTGTGCTAAAATAACGTTGCCTTTATTTTAGCACAATTCACAACCAGTGGTAGTTAAGAAAAAAAAAAACTTCGGTCTTCCGGCCTTTTACCATCGTGTATTCTCAAAGATATTCAGTCAACTCAATTCATTAATATGCACGAGGGAGGGAGAGAGAGCAAAACAGTTTGAAGACGGTGAGAGTGCGCGCGCGACCGGGGCTTTCACTCTCTGCTCGTTCTCTCAGTTAAACAAGCGCAGCAGTCAGTCATCTACATCACTCACCGGTCAAATAAGGCTTTGGCGGGACAAAAATACGCCTAATGGTGTGTTCACACCGAACGCGAATAGAGCGTCAAATACGCGTCTAGTTAGACGCTTGAACATTCGCTCGAGCTAAAATTTTTCAACTTGCGCAGAAGACATGCCCAATTCGCGTCATTCGCAACACCCGGCGCGAATGATGCGTCTATTCGCGTCTTTGCATTGACTTTGTATGTAATCTACTCGCGCAAATAATTAAATTCACGTTCGGTGTGAACTCACCATTATGGTGCGTTCACACCGAACGCGAATTTAATTATTTTAAATTCGGATTTAATAATTCGGTGTGAACGCACCATAATGGTGAGTTCACACCGAACGCGAATTAAATTATTTGCACGAGTAGATTACATACAAAGTCAATGCAAAGACGCGAATAGACGCATCATTAGCGCCGGGCGTTGCGAATGACGCGAATTGGGCGACGCTTTTGCCGCGAATGTCTTCCGCGCAAGTTGAAAGATTTGAACTCGAACGAATGTTCAAATAGACGCGTATTTGACGGAAAACAGCGCCCAAGTTCCAGTCTTCTTGCGCTTGATGTTTAAACTGACAGGACTTGCGCTCGTAATGTATGTGCTCGTGCAAAAACAAACATCCCCGCCCCCACACTCACATCTACACACACATCAAATACACAGGAATGATTATCGGCCTGTTCACATCAGCCCTATTTTGACATCGGAACATGTAAAAAATTTACCATATCGGCCGATATTATATCGGCGGCCGATATATCGTGCACCACTAATTATTCATATTATAAAACATTGTAAAAAAACTTCTGCCACGTTTTAATAGAAGCCTCGAATGTATTGCACCATAATAGTATATATTATTTGATTCTAAAACTTGAGTTTTTCCTAATTGTGTCATTTTCTCAATACATATGCAAGTCATACCTCTTTATGCACTTTCGTTCTGCTTTTTATTTCTGCCACAATCATCCCCACAATTCCACCTCTATGGGTGGCAGCCAGAGAGAAGAACTTCTTATTTGATGTGATGTCATGGTACCATGAGTCTGGATACCTAAAACACAAACATATAGCAAAGTGTTAGTGTTGTACTTGAGCCATACAAAAGGATCATTTGGTTCAAGCACTCACTCAATGGGGAACCACTCTCCACAGAGCACTTTTATTCTCTCTATGTCATCGTGGCAGAGTAGGCGGAGCTTTATTTCACTGAGGGCGGTGGTAGGCACCACGTCGGTCATTCACACCTGAAAGAACAAATTATGATAAACAATTCAGCAGTGCTTAACAACATACATCTCAGTTTGAAAACCCTTACTTTTATTGATCAGTCCATTATGTGTTAAAAGATTCATGGGTTAGAACATGGCGGTCAGTATGGGTAAAATTGTGCCTAATAACTTGCTTTTTAAAAGCTTTTAGCTAAGTTAATGTTACTTGCTTTCAGTGGAAGTGAGATCACCACTCTCAGGAGAAATGTGATAAGAGTAAACATGCTACTTTCTGTTTACTGTCAACTCAAATGATGTAATTTATAAAGAAAAAGAGAAACAAGATGTTAAAGTAAATAGACAACATTTTACCATAATAAATAAGCAAATGAAAATATTATATTGAACAAATAGCCTACCCATCACAGTTGATACTAAAGAGGTATCAGTTACAGTAACCTCATTGTAATCTATTAAACTCGAGGAAACAGCAAACACAATTCAAAATAATGTTGAGTAACGTTAATTGTATACGCGCATAAAAAGCCAAAACTGAACGACCTCATAATCTCAAAAGCTAGCAGCTAGTCAGTACTTCTGCCTGTCAAAATAAATAGACATGGATTTTTTTTTAAACAAATAAAATAATAATTAGAGGATTTTTAAAAAGTAGCTGCTATATAATAGAATGATGTGGGAATGCAGTAATTCAAATGATCAAACTGTCAGTTGCGTTTGCTTGATATGTTTACATCACATGCTAACCGCTAACGTTAGCCTACATGCAGTAATCATTAGCTGGGATGCGAAAAAAATCCTAACCTGCCTAGTTTCACCGCTTGGATAAGCAGAAGGATATGCCGTCGTTTCTTTTTATTGCCGTGGAGAATGTTCACTGCTGCGGTAGCATGGCGATAGTGTGTAAATTTGTGTCTGGGATGAAGATGACACATTCAGCCAGAGACTCGATTTGCGATCTGTAATGCATTAGCGTAGCCGTTAGCACTTCGACAAACTCTAGGCAGACACTTCCGGTCCGAACCATTCCGGAATCAGCCGAAAGCCGCCGAAGTGGCCTTGACGTGCCTTCGAGACGGAGACCAGATAAGACTAACAATTTGATCTCTTTGTCAAAATATTTACTATTTTAGTATATTTTTCTTTGATGTCTATATCGGCTACCTGTTTGTATTCACCCTTGCTCCTCTTTCTTTCTTTTTCTTTTCTTTTTTTCTTCTTTTTTTTCCCCTTCTCAAATTCAAACTCTGTGTTAGTCTCAATGGAAGGAACCGACCAATTCACAGTAGCCTACGGCATTAAATAAAATACAAAAGTATTCAGTATATACACATAACTCACGAAAAAAACAAATTACATATAAAATGTGTGTGTGTGTATTTAAATGGCACACAGACTATATGGGGAGGCTGCAGACCTGGAGCCGGCAGATATACGCCCCTGGCAGTTTTACGCCCCGGCAGTTTTAGGACCCTGTTGTTCCTGATGCGTCCAGTAGAGGGATATACTGCGAAATAACATAATTAAATCGACGCTTACACATTAATAACCCGTCCATAGACTTGACAATTTTGTGTTTTTTGTTAATTTAAATATAAACGTTACAGTGTAGATCTCCACGGATTAAATTTTCTGTAGATATTCAGTTGGGCTTCACTCTCTTCACTCAACCTACAGAAGACTATTTGTTTTTGTGAATTGAAAAATTAAAAATACACATAGTTGGAGATTTACATACCTATTATAAATGTGTCTTTTGTGTGTTCACACCATAGACTGTAAAATAAATTCACATATTTCCATTATCTACTGTAATATTGCTCTTGGATCAACTATGTGTTATGACAGGTGATGCTATGACCTACTGCAGTTATAGGCCAATTCACCGTAGGTTTTTATATACAGGAGACTGAGTGAAATATGTTTTTGTGAATTTATATAAAGTCACATTTAGATATTAACCATATTTAGCCCATTAGACATGCAGTACCGTGTAATAATATGGATCCTCGATGAAATATCTGCTGTACTATTCTATTGGTCATCATACAGCTACAAAACAGTGTCCTACACAGCATTTTATGAAGACAAACACAATTTATCCCTTTTCTAAAATTCCATGGGCCATTTAGAAGATATAGACAATATTGTTGTTCACAAAAAAATATTTATTAACACCATTTATGAATTATGATGACTCCCCTATGGTTTGCCACTCTTCTTTAACTGTTTTTTTTTCTTTAACTGCTCCTGCTCACTGATGAAACATTAAAAAAGTTAAAAAGGACATCCATGGTGAATTTGACCTTGTCCCTGTGTGTGTGTGTGTGTGTGTGTGTGTGTGTGTGTGTGTGTGTGTGTGTGTGTATTTCCTTAAGTAGCTAAAGCAAACACACCTTTATGAGATCCAAGTTAAAGAGAACTTGGTAAAGACAGAGTATGATAAAACCCACATTAAGTGCACATACCCTACATTTGAGTCCAGATCAGTAAGCTATTTTAAGAAAAATTTATATTAAGATATAAATGAGATAATTAGATCATCTCATTTATAAGAAACAACTCAAACCAGAATCTACATTCAAACCATATGGGAAGTTTTTAATGTGTTTTAACGTATTTGAGTGAGTGTGCAGTTTAACTCTTTATTTAGAGAGAGAGAGAGAGAGAGAGAGAGAGAGAGAGAGAGAGAGAGAGAGAGAGAGAGAGAGAGAGAGAGAGAGAGAGAGAGAGAGAGAGAGAGAGAGAGAGAGAGAGAGAGAGAGAGAGAGAGAGAGAGAGAGAGCGAGAGAGAGAGAGAGAGAGAGAGAGATTTACATACCTATTATAAATGTGTCTTTTGTGTGTTCACACCATAGACTGTAAAAAAAATTCACATATTTCCATTATCTACTGTAATATTGCTCTATAAACCATGTGGAGTATGTTTTAATGCAAGGAGTAAACAGAGTCTTACCAGAAGAGGCCAAGCTAAAGACAGGCAACAAAAGAAAATTAAAATTAATTTTAAATTGAGTAGAGAAGATAGGGGAAGCTAAACCTACACGTGGTTAGCTAAGTTTCAGCCAGATTGAACATAAACCTGTCAAAATACATTATAGACCCATCCATTGATATATAAATGAATTGATATACCTACCCTAGCTCTATCGAGCTAATCGTTTATAAATAATAAATGTTGCATCATTGCTAAAAAACAATAACTTTAGCAGATTATTTAACATACAAATGACAGAATATATTTTTGTCCGATTTTAATTCTAACTATGTTAAACTTGATTATACGGTATTATTACTTTGTCTCCTGGGCAAGTTTCATCTTCATAAAGACAGAACCATTCAAAGTAATCCTGATTCTAGAATATTCTCCTCTGATATAAAGTTCATTTTTTTCTTCCTTTAAGAAAATGTCAGAACCTTTAAACTAAGGTTTATAAAACAAATAATAGCATTGAGTCTGTTGTAAAGAACCTTGCATGTTTTTATATTGACAAAATGTAATATTGCATTGATTTGTGTACCCTAATTCAATCTCTTTTGATGTCCGTTTACCCTACCCCCTTGTTTTTTTGTTAAACAGATAATTTAATCCGTGCAGATCTACACTATAACTTTTATATTTAAATTATGTTAAACAGATAATTTAATCCGTGCAGATCTACACTATAACGTTTATATTTAAATTAACAAAAAACACGCGTCGATTTAATGATGTTATTTCGCAGTATATCCCTCTACTGGACGCATCAGGAACAACAGGGTCGTAAAACTGCCAGGGGCGTATATCTGCCGGCTCCAGGTCTGCAGCCTCCCCCTACTCCACACAGACGTGCTTATGTCAATGATTGGCACACACATGAAGCGCCCCCGGGTGCACGGAAGTTGAATTGCTTTAAGGGAGAGAGTGGGCTGAGTTAACAGGGGTCAATTGAGCTTCTCAATGTCAGAGTATAATAATAAAGTTTCTTGTTGATGACAAACAAATAAATTTTAAATAGGCTTGCTACGCAAAATCTTTTCAATCAAATAAATATTGGGAAATGTATATGGAAGAGTTACAGTACAAGCTCAAGTAATGCAGAGATTCTGACCCTATAAGAGATCATAGTGTTAAAAAAAGTCCTCCTTGAATACTGAGGTACAGCAGCCAGCTACAAAATAAATGTTTTTTAAATACTTCTGTCAAGCCACCTGTTTAAAGTTACATTAGACTTTGTCTTATCACCCATCTGTTTATTTCCCATGCAGGGAGAGAGTGAGCAAGAGGTTGCTGTCTTTACACAGTAGTGGAAAATAAAAACTCTAGAATATGTGATACCACTTATATTCCCAGAGAGAGGGACTTGCTGAGGTAGAGTATATAAAGGCTCCTTAGTGGTGCAAAAACGGCTTTCTCCCCGTTCTCACGGCACATGCGAAAGCAGAAATCAGCAGCAGGTAAAGCTATTTTATTGCATGGAATAAATGTCTCAAAATACAATCTTAACTAATGCATATTTATATTAGAGTAATATTTCCTTAGTTACATCGATTTTTTAAGATTCTAATTGACTTTTACCTGTGCTAATCTGTCTCAGATATGATTAACTATGCATGTCTAAATATTTCCCAGGGAAATATATCATCTTCATCTCGAAATACAGCATGAAGATTAGTACCACTTTAAATCTGCTCCTGGTATCCGTCCACATTGGAAACTCGTTTCTGATCGGAGCATTTAACATCAAATCCTTTGGGGACTCAAAAGCATCCAATGCCACTCTGCTTGACATCATTACCAAAGTGAGTGACACCCATAGAATACCCATATCTTGCTTCTTGTTTGGTAACCTTAGTATTGTGTTTGTTAGGTAGTTCGCCGCTATGACATTGTACTCATCCAAGAGGTGAGAGACAATGATCTCTCTGCAACTAATAAACTGATGGAAAGTGTAAATGGGTAAGTTGTTTAACTTAATGTCTATAAGTTACAGTATGTTTTTGTATACAAAATAAATAAAATATTATTTTCATTATCAGAGGTTCCTCTCCATATGAGTATCAGCACATTGTAAGTGAGCCCCTGGGTAGGAGCACTTACAAAGAGAGATATCTATTTATTTACAGGTAACATGTAGCTCACATATCATATAACACTGTATGTATACTAATATGTGTACCTGCTGTGGTTCATATCAAATGAATAATTACACTTATGTTCTCATCAGGCGCCAGACAGTGTCGGTTTCAAACAGCTTCCAGTATGATGATGGATGTGAATCCTGTGGAACTGATACTTTCAACAGAGAACCCTTTGTTGTGATGTTCTCCTCTAATACAGGTGGCGGTCCCTGTTCATTGTCAAAATGTTACCAGTAATACAGTTTAAAAAAGCACTGTTCAGCAAAAGCTTTTCATCCAAAGAAATTTATGGTACACTAAATTCAGACAGTTCCTCTGGTTAAGAGCCGTTCTAAAGGCCACAATGAAAATGAAGGGAATGTGATTTCCAGATCCTGAGTGACCATACTTATAGCTGAATATAAACTCCTATTCAAAAATTTGGGGTCAAAAAGAAATTAAAAAAATAAATAAATAATGTTTTTTTGTTTTTTTAAATAATAAAAACAGAAAATGTTTTGAATACTGAGCCCTAGCAAGTCTGTATTTTCCATAGCTGCCCGGGACTTTGCCCTCATTCCCCAGCATACATCTCCAGAAGTCGCTGTGCAGGAAATTGATGCTCTGCATGATGTCGTCTTGGATACTAGACAACGTTTGAACACAAATGTAACTATACTAGATGAGAACTATGCTGCTAATACAATATGATTTAGGGAATTTGTGACATTTCATATTTCATTTCAGAACATCATGCTTTTGGGAGACTTCAATGCTGGCTGTAGCTACGTTTCAAATTCGAATTGGTCAAAAATTCGACTCCGCACTGACCAAAGCTACACCTGGCTCATCCCTGACAGTGTGGACACAACCGTCACACACACAAACTGCCCTTATGACAGGTAGGGAAAACAT